AAAACAGGGTCTTATAACCTGGGATGACTTGAATTTGCTATGTAGTGAGCTGTCTTTGAATTCCTGATCCTCCTGACTCCACTTCCTAGATACCACTATGCCCAGCTTTCTGTCTTTTATCTCTCTCTTTCTTTTTACATATTTTTGTTCCTCCTTTTTAATTTCATTACCTTGTCTTGTTGCAATGCCTTGGATCTTTAGCATATTGTTGAAGAAAAGTGAACCAAGTAGGTAGACTTTCATCATTGTCTAGCATGTTGACTATAGGTTTTTGTAGATGCTTTCACTTTCTGAAAATTGATAATAGAATTTATAAGCTTACTAATATGTTCATATTCAAATGTCTTGGTCATGATACTGAAGGGACTGGTATTGGCTTGATACCCCAAGACCAAGGTCTCAGCACAAAGATTTATTTGTCCCAGAGGGACAAAGGACAGGGAATAAGAGACAAAGACAGGAGATGGAGGATGAGAGAGAAGTGGGGAGGGAGAGGGAAAAAAAGGGGCAAAGGAGAGGGAGAGGGGTATTTGTCCCAGAGGGACAAAGGACTGCCTCTGGATAGAGTGGAGACAGACTTGGCACATAGGAAAATGGCGGTTTATAAAGGTAAAAAGGGAAACCCTGTGTTAGGATGAGGTGTTTAATTTTAATTGGACATGTTAGTTAGGCAAGCCTTAGGGGACTTTTGATTGCTGGATTTCAATACTTTGATAGCTGGATCTTGGTAGTCAGCCTCAGAAGGAGGAAGTAGCCAAATAAGGGAATAGACCTTGGTGGCTAGCTTTAGGAATGTAATCTAATGGTTTTTAGCAAGGCAGAGGGAGAAGGGCAAGGCCTGCCAGAGCCCCATTTTCCATGCTTAGGCTTGCTAAAGTCCTTTCAGATACAACTATGTCTTAATTTTATCAAGAGACATGTAGGGCTGGGTTATATCTTTTGTGATATTAGCAGTCATTAATTTTTGTTGCCTTATCAGTATTATTTTACAGATTATAAGTACATGTAGTCTTATTCTTTTATATCCCCTTCATATATTTTCTAGGATCTTTCACTTCTATAGAAAATAATTTTTTTCCCCACAAACCCTCTATATATTCCTATAGGCAGAAAATTCCACGGCAGAAAATGCTCATTTTTTCTTCTAGTTATCATATTAATACTAGCACATCAAAAATAGCTATTCAAAAAATTACAGTTATTTATTTCATGCATGTGCATCAGAAACATGCATGTGTTGAAGTCAGAGGATAGTTTGTGGTAGTTGGTTTGCTCCTTCTATCATGCAGGTCCCTGGGATCAAATTCAGGTCATCAAGCACTTTTACTCACTAAGCTATCTCACTGGCCCATTCCTAATGCTTTTCCAAACATATTATGAATTTACTGTTTTTCAATCAATTTATTTGTAGGTTTCATCGATGCTTATGTAGGCAGGCTACCTGTGCAGCTGAGGCGGAGTTTGAGCTCCTGATCTTCCTGCATTCGCATCCTAAGTGCTGGGATTGCAACTGGGCATCACCACACCACCTTTCTGAATTGCTATTTGCTTTGTTTGTTTTCAGGTCTTTGTTGTATTCATAATCTTTGTTTTTTGGTAAGTTATAAGGTCATGACATACTTTAACTTGTATAAGCAATGACAAAAAGAAGATGTAGTGACTGGATGGTGGTGGCATATACCTTTAATCCCAGGACTTGGGAGGTAGAGGCAGGCAGATCTTTGTGAGTTCAAGACCAGCCTAGTCTACAGAGCAAGTTCCAGGATAGATTCCAAAGCTACACAGAGAAACCTTGTCCCGAAAAACCATAAATAAATAAATATGTAGGTGGACTTTTTTTCCCCCACCCACCAATTCCCAAATAACTGACATAGAGTTCCAATATTAATTATAAATGGTTGGCCAGTAGCTTGACTTGTTACTAGCTAACCCTTAACACATTTCCATTCCTTTACTTGCTGCCATGTGGCTCATAGCTTGTTACTCCATTTTTGTACACATCCTGCTTCCTCTGTTTCTGGCTGGTGACTCCTCTGACTCTGTCCTTCTTCCCAGTGTCTTCATTTTGGTTTTCCTGCCTAACCTTGTCCTGTTCTGCTGTTGGCCAGTCAGCTTCTTTATTAAATCACCCACAGCATAATTTACACAGTGTATAGAAGAATTATTCCACAGCATTAACAAATATAAATAAAAGAATATGTAGTATCTGAATAAGTGATCTACTAGAAGCCAGATCTCCTTGGGGACCTCAAGTGGTCACTCACTGGCACCTTCATCCAAGAGGACCATCTGCAGAGGGGATTTCTTCTAACAGATGAAAAGGGATGCAAATCAAAGGGGCCTCATAATAAAGAAATAAATCTTTTTTTTAAAGATGTAGTGAAAATGTATTTTCTCATGTGTATGAGTAAAGAATGAAACTCAAAATTAAATAACATTTGAGTCACAATTCAATTCTATTGCAGCATGTTCTAAGAAATTTGGAATTTAGTAGGTAAAAACTCTAATATTCCTTAATTGGAATCCATGGTAGAAAAAGTTTTGGTGTCCTAACCCCTATGTTAAGGTAATAATATGTCAGATTATAAATCAGAATTTTAATAGTTTTCTGGTAAAACTCATTCGTTGGGAAACCCTTTGTACTCTCCTGCAGTAAGAGAGGAAAACGTCTTCTTGACACATGTGAATTTTTAATGTAGTGTTATAACTTCATGTGGTTTAGCTGTTTTACTTGAGGCATGTGTATGTAACCTTCTAAATATTCATTTAGCTTATAATATGCTCGTTTTCTAACTGTCACTATTGTCCTAAAGTATAACATTTCATTATTATAACATCAGATATATGCACAAAGGAAATTAAAATTTATGGAGTTTTGTAACCTTAACACAATGTCCTCACACAGTGTCAATCATGTTTTTTTAACTATTACTTTTATCATTTTTTTCTGTTTATAAAACAAATAGTACTGAACAAAATAAGGATTGAATAATCCTTCCCATAAAATTCTATATTAAATTCCATAGGGAGTTTTGTCTAAATGTAGATATTTACAAAGAGATCTTGAAAAGTGACATTTCCGTAAGATATCAGGCAGCTTGAAAGTTGTGTTCACACTTATGTGAACTGTTGGTATCTTGGCATGAGTATACATAGTATATGTATATATAATATGCACATATGTGCATATTTGCATGTTTATTTTAGGAATGGGATAATTGGAGAGGAGTGAACAGAGGGGGAAAGGTGTATGTGTGAAGAGGACATTTCTGACATGAAAGGCAACAACGTGGCTTAATGGTTATTACAGATAATGTTTCTGAAGATTTATCAGTAGTACTTGATTCTCTTTACAGTAATACTGCCCAGGAGAGAGCTAAGTATCATTTAGTTTTCATTTATTTTATAGACTGAAGGTTCTCTCTCCACCAAAAAAAGAAGTTATTGCCCTTATTTAGAAGTGGTTTCTGGCTGGAGAGAGATAGTTCAGTGGTTAAGAGGACATGGGTTCAATTCCCAGCACCCCCAGATAGTTCAATACTATTTGTCTGCAACTCCAGTTCCAAGAGATGTAACAATCTCTTCTGGCCTTTCAGCACTATGCATGCATGTGGTGCATATACATTTATGCACATATTTAAAATAAAAATGAATAATTTTTAAATAAAAAGTAAAAGTGGTTGCTTTATTTAGCTGTTTTAGTCCAAGTTTCATTATGATTGTTGTGACCCTCCCTTTTTTACCTGCTTTTCCCCAACATATATCTGTGTTGTGTGGAGCACATGTGCATGTATGCAAATTGCAGAAATGTTAAGTTGTGCCTAGTCTTGCTGGAATTCTGAATAGATCCTAGATACTCTTCTATGGAGTTCTTTTTGAAGGTGGCTTGAAATATGCTTGTTTTTTAGGTTCTCAGAAGTGTAGATCATGATACAAGGGTTAAATGTTTAAATTTTTTTTCTTGTAGAAAGAAAGCTGCTCCTTTCTAAGAAATGCTCTAAAACTCACCAATCCTTAAATTTAGCTTCTTTGACTCCACTTTTGCAGTAGCTACTGCCATAGAACTTCTGTTCATAACTCTTAATCAGTGCAAACCTGCCTGATCCTACTTACAAGTGTGTTTGAGTGGTCAAAGTTTGCCTCATGTTAAAATCCTCACTTCCTTCTCCCTCCCTCCCTCCCTCCCTCCCTCCCTCCCTCCCTCCCTCCCTCAACCCTTCCCTCCTTCTCTGTGTTTTATGTGTATGAGTGTTTTGCCTGCATGGATGTATATGCATCATATGTGTGTCCAGTACCCATATCATTCTGGAATTACAGACAGTTGTGGGTGCTGGGAACCAAACCTAGGTCCTCTGTATGAACAAGTATTTTTAACTGGTGAACCATCTCTTGAGTCCCAGAATATACTTTTTCTTTAAAACTACAGAGAGACTTTATTCCTAAAAGCTATGTGAGTATGAAAGAATGTCAGAAAGGTGCTATTTTCTTAGGTCCCCTTCACACTTTCGGTGTATGATTTTCTTGAACAGTAGGTAGGGAGAGATTTAGACTGCCTCTGGAGATGTTAACATTTCTCTTAAACCACCCAGGCAAGTGGAGTGTCAAAAAGAATATGGTTGACAGCTGTAGGAACCACTTATTAAATGGGAGAATAAGACCACCCAACAGGGTGGTTTGTAGTTACTCATTAGTGGGAATGAGACAGAACCCTAGGTACAGAATCTTCATTCCCATGTTACACAAATTATTCCTCTGAAAGAGAGATTTCGTTTATTTTACCTATTTTTTTTGAGATTAAATAGTCCCATGTTTCTTTGTACTGTATTGAATGTCATTACTAAAATGACCAGACTGTTCATAGAGGTCATCTCATTCCCTCACTGAGTTGTTCTGTTACATAACTGCTTCGTAAGTTGTGTGCAAGAGTGTTTTATGTTATTGAGACAAGCAAAGCATTCAGTATTGCTTTTCCTCAACTGTTGTTTTTCTTGGACTTGTAGGATGTGGAGAGCATCTTGTGCGCACCATACTGGCTAGAGAATGTTCACACGCTTTACAAGCTGAAGATGCTCACCAAGCTCTGTTGGAGACTATGCAAAACAAGTTTATCAGTAAGTGGAACTTTGAGAAAAGGACACCTTCTAAATTAGAGAGCTTCCCTAAGCTGTATACATTAGGAATTAATTTTCCCACATAAGCCTCTAGACTTTTCACTGCCTAGTATAGTTAGACCTTCAGTTAATATTATTTGTAAGCAGAAATTCTATCACAATAGCTACTACAGCATATCAGCTATTTAACTAATTTAGCGTCTAGATTCTGAGACATTATCTAGCATTAAATTGACAAGTACTGAAATGAAATTCTGTAAAAGAAATTCAAGGGACAACGTGCTATAGCATGTTTGAAATGCAGTTGAAACATTCATTGTATCCTTCTCACCTTCTTACCACGTGCACTGCGCATGGTCGAGATGGAATCCTATCTGGACATTTGCCCAGTCCTCTAACGAGATGTGCATATATGTATGCGTTGGGTAATAATCTGAGGATGGAGGAGGGAAATTTCCTTGTTTGTTTGTTTGAGTTGAGGAAACCATCAGTGGAAAAAGTGGTCCACTTAGGTTTTGAGACAAAGTAGATGTGGCACTCCTGTTCTAATCAGGATTTAGAAACCATACAATAGATTCCATGGGTGAAGTCTAACAAGGAAGACTTTCTAACTAGAATATACATGGAGAGTGTTTGCTACTGTGCTGGCTCATGTGTTTATGTCAACGTGACAACAGCTGAGGGTCATCTGAGTAAAGGAAACCTCAACTGAGAAAATGCCTCCATTAGACTGGCTGTAGGCAAGTCTGTGGTGCATTTTCTTATTTGATAATTGATGTGGAAAGGTGTAGCCCACTGTAGACAATGTTATCCTTGGGCAGGTAGTCCTGAGCTGTATAAGAAAGCAGGCTTAACAAGCCAGTAAACAGTGCTCCTTCATTGCCTTTGCTTCAGTTCTTGCCTCCAGGTTCCTGCTTGAGTTCCTACCCTGATGTCCCTCAGTGATAGAGCATGACTGGAGAGTTGTAAACTGAAATAAACCCTTTCCTCCCCAAGTTGCTTTTGGTCATGGTATTTTATCATAGCAATAGAAACCCTAAGACAGGTACCCTGGGGATGAAAGTTTCCTTAGAACACACTCGGGGGATTTTAAATCCCATTGGAGAAGATGTAGATTGGCCATCAGACAGCTGAACTTTGCTGGTTGGGTCAGGATAAGATGAATCTGGAATCAAATAGGTCATGCTTCAGAGTTCAGAAAGGCTGCAGATGCTGAGCTCTGGGTGACTTGTGTGCAGTGGGTTCTCTGTGTCAGGGAGGGCAAGGTTTTCAGAGCATGTAGGTTGCAGAGAACATACAGAAGGAATGACTGCTTGGCAGATGATCCTCTGGGATGCAGGAACTTGTTGAGAGAGTCATGAGTGACAATTGTGTTCAGTCCACTGAGCTCTAGTTTCTATGTTGAGGACTGTAGAAGGGCTATCACTGGGCCCAGTACACGGTTGTAGAGGAACACTTTCTGGCCTGTAGCTGAGGCAGACTCTGTTAGGTAACCTTGTACCCACATTGCCAAGTCCACCACTCTTCCCCAGTCTGTGCTGGAACTTATGAGAGGGTCCATATTATAGCTGTGCTCATCTTCTCTAACTTTAGTTGTTGACTCACCTTTTTACTAGCTTCATAAGCTCATTATTTTATATATCCATATATATATATATATATATATATATATATATATGTACTATTTTGTACTATGATATTTTATTCCTTTTTTGGTGGCACCTGGATTTCAGGGAGCATCTGTATTCTGGAATCTGTGTGGAGGGACACTCTGGTTCTGCAACACATTTCCTCTACTCTTGGCTTCTACCAAGATGTTACTTGGCCTCCACCTGTTTGTAGGCAATAAGCCTTTGTCACCATTTAATTAATTGTGGTAGCTGTAGCTTTTGGCTTCCTTAGCCCACACACCAACCACTGAACACAGATCCTCCAGTGACAGGCAACTCACCTTCTCAGCTACGTGTTCCCTCTCAGCCTTTTCAGTGAGCCCTGGTAGTTCAGTCAGGGAGCCTGGAACCTCTGGGATACTTTATTGGATAGTCAGGTCACATCAGACTTTCCTCTTTTACTCGTAGAGCATCTTGCTGTTCTGAGTGTACCTTGGAGTGGGGAACTTCACCATCAGTTTCTCTCCTTTTATATCTTGCTGGGAAAGGAGGCACAGGTCTCTTCTGTTCTTTGATTTCTCCAAATCTAGCCGGGGCTGTTTTGTTGTCTCATCTCCCCCTTCCCTTACCTCTATCAGCTCAGGAAGAGTAACAGAAATTCTTACTAGTGACTAACCTTTAGTTTTCCCACAAATCACACATCAATTCCCATCTCTATTTTAAGGATTCTTATGGGGACCAGGCTAAGCAAGTATTTTTTCCAAACTATTGCTTTTTCAATAATTTAGGCTTTATCTACCCCAAGTTCTTTGCCCTCTGAATTTGTCGCAATGTAGAATTTTCAAAAGCCTGCAAAGAAGCTCAAAGGATGAAACCAAATTCAGCTGGATTCACTGATGGAAAAATGAAGGGATCCTAGTGTGGGACTAAAACCTGAATGACCTCCTCAAAATCCTAAGTTGTTACCTTGATCTTTTAAAAGCATCATGCTCTGTTTGAAAGGAGGTTTTCAGCCACACACAGAGAAAGTAACAGATTATGCTCAGAAAAATTGTATTTATTTATGGGAAAATAGAATGACTAACCAAAGGAAAATTTATTTCACAAGGAAGGGATTTTGAACAGGTGTTTTCTTATGTTCTTCTTCTTATGGGTGTATTTCCTGTGTATACGTCTGTGCACCTCATGTGTGCCTGGTGCACACAGAGGCCAGGAGAATGCCTTGGATCCTTCAGAACTGGAGTTGCAGATGGTGGTAAGCCACTGTGTGTGTTCTAGAAATTGAGCCCATGTCTTCTGGAAGAGCATCACGTGTTCTTGGCCATTGAGCCATCTTTTCAGCTTGCTTTCTTACTTTCCTTATGCTAAGGTTATGAAGGCCTCGAAAAGATCCAAGGTTTCAAATCATCTGGATGGTTGTTCTCTTTCTCTCTCTCTCTCTCTCTCTGTATTTGTGTTAATAAGTGCTACTTGATATGGACATACAAACTGAGGAATAAATTATGAATAGGACTTGAGGTCTACTAATAGTGAATTTCAGAAAAGATTGGTTGCATTGTTGAGTTCTCAGAGCTATCAGCCAGACTTAGATCTTATTCTTTTATTTTATTAATAGTGTTGAATGCTGTTTTTAAAGAAAAATGAATTTTGGCTTAATAACATTTGATTTATATATGATTTGTTGTCATTGTAGTCTCAGGACATCAATAAGAAGAAATATAAGAATTTAAAAATAGAGGTTCATGAAAGCTAACTTCTTAGAAGTCCTGTGACAAGCCAGGCGATGGTGACACACACCTTTAAGCCCAACACTCAGGAGGCAGAGGCAGAGGCAGAGGCAGGCGGATCTCTATGAGTTTAAGGCCAGCCAGGTCTACAAAGTAGTTTCCAGAACAGCCAGTATTGTTACATAGAGAAACCCTGTCTCAAACTCCCCAACCCCCCAAAAAAGGAAGTCCTGTTACAGGTATATAATTATAGTGCATGATAAGTTTGTATCTATTGAGAATGACCTGAAGGAACCTGCTGAATCTAAAGCCACAAAGTCACTGTTAATTGAACTCCAATTTGGGTCTAGGGACTCCCTAAATGCTAGTCTTTTCTGATGCTTTAGTCTTCCTTTGTGTAACTTTCAAAAATTGCTGATGATGTTGAGCAGTTTTGCCTCTGGGAACCTATTATTGGTGCCTATTGAACCCCATCTTAAAAACTCCTTGCATTAGAAAGGAGCAAGGCACTTTATAGAGCTCAGCTAATTGATCCTGCTTATTTGATAGTTAAAGTTAGTTTAGAAGAATCCAGGGATTTGCCCTCAAAGCCATCTTGTTAGCCAGTGAGTATTGATTTAGAAGAATGTCCTAAGCCTCGGGACAGCTGGTCCTCTTTAGTTTTCTGTCTCATCCCTTGTTGTTGCAAGTTACTTCAATGATTTCACTCTTTTAAGATCAAGAACATTAGGTAAGAGGAAATTTAAAAATTTTTTGGCCATACTAAATTCTCTTGGTTCTCTACTGGAGTCAGCCCATAAATCTGAAATTCTTTTTAATCAGATGATTTAGACATGGGATTAGGAAATAAGAAAATTCAGGAAGTACATGTGATTTTTACAAAGTTCTTGGAATGAGATAAATTGGATTTAGTGGAGGCTTGGACTATAAGGAATGAGGTTGAGTTCTTCTTTTAGTGCACTGATAATTAGCTGTCTATCTGAAAAAAAAAGTTGTCTTTGTTCTCTTTCTTCATTGGAGAATGAGCAGGCAGATCTGCATGCTCCCCAAAACTCCTTCATGTTCCAAAATTTTACTCGATCCTTGGATTAATTCATGGACTCATCTAAACTACTTGTAAAAGTACAGTTATACATCAAATGATACATCAATTAAAATTATGTATTAAGACTTTGAGTTAGTGACATCAGGTTCCTGTGTGGAGTGATATGGTTGAAATCTTCTCAGGAAGTGATTGAAATTAAGTTAATGACAACTTTCTTCATCTTGTGGAAATATGAAATTCTTCTACTTTTGCTTTTTATATATTTTTTAAAAAACTTGTTAAAACCAATTTAAAGACTATCATTGCAAGATTGATAGAAAAGTTTTATATGATAATCAAGTCAGATAACTAAGTGTGTTCATCTGGATCTCATTCTTTTTGTCACAAAGAATCATTGCTAAAAGGTTTACGTTTTCATAGTCTTCAATTAGTTAGCTATCTATTTTATGAGCACTTTAAATAAGTATGCAGACAAGATAGCAGCATAGTTGTCTCCTTCACTCAATGGCCCTCCTTCCTTCCTCTCCCTTCTCTTGGTGTTTTTTAAGACAGGGTCTCATGTAGCCAAGCCTGACCTTGACCTTCTAATCCTCTTTCATAACCTCTCAACCACTAGATTATAGTACACCATCATATCTGGCCACTTAATGTATCTTTTTTTAAAAAAAATTATTATTAAGAAATTTTTTATTCATTTTACATAGCAACCACAAAATCCCCCTCTCCTCTCTCCTCCCGGCCCCCAGCTCCCCCCCCAACCCCCCCCATTCCCATTTTCTCCAAGGCAAGGTCTCCCATGGGGAGCCAGCCGAACCTGGTACATTCAGTTGAGGCAGGTCCAAGCCCCTCCTCACTGCACCAAGGCTATACAAAGTGTCTCACCATAGGCACTGGGCTCCAAAAAGCCCATTCATGCACCAGGGATGGATCCTGATCCATCAAACAGTTCAAGCTAAACAACTGCCTCGCCTATCCAGAGGGCCTAGTCCAGTCCCGTGGGGGCTCTACAGCTATCGGTCCACAGTTCATGGGTTTCCACTATTTTGGCTGGCTATCTCTGTTCATTTTCCCATCATGATCTTGATGTCTCTTCCTCATAGAATCCCTCCTCTCTCTCATCTATTGGACTCCTGGGGTTCTGTCACCCAGCCATAGATCTCTGCATCTGCTTCCTTCAGTCACTGGATAAAAGCTCTATGAGGTAGATTGATGCCAAATTTTCTGAGAAACTGCCATACTGATTTCCAAAGTGGCTATACAAGTTTGCATTCCCACCAACAGTGGAGGAGTGTTCCCCTTGCTCCATATCCTCTCCAACATAAGCTGTCTTCAGTGTTTTTGATCATAGCCATTCTAACAGGTGTAAGATGGTATCTCAGAGTTGTTTTGATTTGCATTTCCCCGATGACTAAGGATGTTGAGCAATTCCTTAAATGTCTTTCAGCCATTTGAGATTGTTCTGTTGAGAATTCTCTGTTTAGTTCTGTAGCCCATTTTTTAAATTGGATTGTTTGGTATTTTGATGTCTAGTTTGTAACATGAATCTTAAACAGTCTTATCAATAAACACAAACCTAGAGCCAGGTATTGAGGTGAATTCTGAAAGATCAGAGAGACAGAACAAGCCACAGCCAATCTCACCTCGCTAACTCCTCAGCTGATCTTGTTTCCTCAAATTGAAAGCCTCTGAGTCCTCATCCGAATGGATCTCAGCTGAACTGCTTCTAAAAGCCTCAAAGCTTAAAAAGCCTCTAGTTCCTGGTTTTCATGCCTTATATACATTTCTGCTTCCTACCATCATTTCCTGGGATTAAAGATGTATGTCTTTCCCAAGCCAGACATGAAATCTCAAGTGCTGGGATTAAAGGTGTGTGCCACCACACCTAGCTCTGTTCTCAGTGTGGCCTGGAATTCACAGAGATCCAGACGGATCTCTGCCTCCTGAATGCTAGGATTAAAGGTGTGTGCTACCACTGCCTAAACCTATGTTTAATATAATGGCTGTTCTGTTCTCTGACTCCCAGATAAGTTTATTGGGTATGCACAATATATCAACCACACTAGTTTCTTGAATTCTTTATATATTTTGGAGATTAGCACTCTGTCAGATGTGGGGTAGGTAAAGATCTTTTCCCATTCTGTAGGCTGTTGTTTTGTCTTATTGGCCGTGTCCTTTGTCCTATAAAAGCCTCTCAGTTTCAGGAGGTCCCATTTATTAATTGTTGCTTTATGTCTGTGCTACTGGTGTTATATTTATGAAGCCGTCTCCTGTGCCACTGAGTTCAAGATTACTTCCTACTTTCTCTTGTGCCACTGAGTTCAAGATTACTTCCTACTTTCTCTTCTATCAAGTTACTGATATCAAGTGTAACTGGATTTATGTTGAGGTCTTTGATCCACTTGGACTTGAGTTTTGTGCATGGTGACAGATATAGATCTATTTGCAATCTTCTAGATGTTGACATGCAGTTATGCCAGCACCATTTGTTGAAGATGCTTTCTTTTTTCAGTTGTATAATTTTGGCTTCTTTGTCAAAAATCAGGTGTGCCGATTAATCTCAGAGTCTTTAATTTGACTCCATTGGTCCACATGTTGGCTTTTATGCCAGTACCAAGCTCTTTTTATTACTATAGCTCTATAGTAGAGCTTGAGGTCAGGGATTGTGATGCCTCCAGAGGTTGTTTTATTGTTCATGATTCTTTTAGCTATTCTGGGTTTTTTGTTTTTCCATATGAAGTTGCGTATTGTTCTTTCCAAATCTGTGAAGAATTGTTTTGGGATTTTGATGGGGATTTCATTGAATCTGTAGATTGCTTTTGGTAAGATTGCCATTTTTACTATGCTAATCCTACCTGTGGTGATATTTTATTCGTGTGATAATAAATAAAGCTTGCCTGGAGGTCAGGGGAAAAGACCAGCCATTTTAAGTAAACAAAGAAGTCAGGCAGCACATATCCTTAATCCCTTAGCAGGCAGGATCTCTGTGTGTTCAAGGCAACACTAGGGAATAGAGCCAAGCGTGGTGACGCACGCCTTTAATCCCAGTAACAACATAGAGGCCTGGAGGTTTGTACAGACAGACAGACAATGACAGAGCTGTGTAGGAAGAGGAAGTCAGGTAGCTGGGCTAAGAGCCGATAAGAGTGCAGAAAAGCAAGCCTGGGTAGAAAGAAAGTTGTGCTCTTGGTAAGCTGCGGAGTTGGTGAGGTGAGGTTAGCTGGTGGCTTTCCATATTTCCCTGATCTCTCTAAGGCTTTAACCCAAATTCTAGCTCCATGTTTTCTATTTAATAAGACCATTTAGAAATTCTTCTACACCTATCTATTCATGAGCATGGGAAATCTTTCCATTTTCTGATATCTTCTTTGATTTCTTTCTTCAGCGACTTAAAGTTTTTATCATACAAGTCATTCACTTGCTTAGTTAGAGTTACCCCAAGGTATTTTATATTATTTGTGGCTATTGTAAAGGGTGATGTTTCTCTGATTTCTTTCTCAGCCTGTTTATCATTTGTATATAGGAGGGCTACTGATTTTTTTTTTTTAAGTTAATCTTGTATCCTGCCACATTACTGAAGGAGTTTATCAGCTGTAGGAGTTCCCTGGTAGAATTTTTGGGGTCACTTATGTACACTATCATATCATCTGCAAATAGTGAAAGTTTGACTTTCCAATTTGTATCCCCTTGATCTCCTTTTGTTGTCTTGTTGCTCTTGCTAGAACTTCAAGTACTATATTGAATAAATATGGAGAGAGTGGACAGCCTTGTCTTGTTCCTGATTTTAGTGAAATTGCTTTCGCTCCATTTCTCTCCATTTAATTTGATGTTGGCTGTTGGCTTGCTGTAAATTGCCTTTATTATGTTTAGATATGTTCCTTGTATTCCTGCTCTCTCTAGGACTTTCATCATGAAAGGGTATTGGATTTTGTCAAAGGCTTTTTCAGCATCTGTTGAGATGATCATGTGGTTTTTTTTCTTTCAGTTTGTTTATATGGTATATTACATTGACAGATTTTCATTGAACCATCCTTGCATCCCTAGGATGAAGCATACTTGGTCATGGTGGTTAATTTTTTTGATGTGTTCTTGGATTTGGTTTGCCAATATATTGGTATTAGCTCTTCTTTGAAAATCTCGTAGAATTCTGCGCTGAAATCATCTGGTCGTGGGCTTTTTCTGGTTGGGATACTTTTAATGACTGTTTCTATTACCTTTATTGGTCTATTTAAATAGTTTATCTGATCTTGATTTAACTTTGGTATGTGATAACCTATCGAGAAAACTGTCCATTTCTTTCATATTTTCTAATTTTGTGGAGTACAGATTTTTGAAGTATGACCTGATGATTCTCTGGATTTCCTCCTTGTCTGTTGTTATGTCTCCCTTTTCATTTCTGATTTTGTTAATTTGGGTGCTTTCTCTGCCTTTTGGTTAATTTGGATAAGGGCTTGTCCATCTTGTTGGTTTTCTCAAAGAACCAACTCTTTGTTTCATTGATTTTTTTTTTTTTTGTATTGTTCTCTTTGTTTCTATTTTCTTGATTTCAGCCCTCAATTTGATTATTTCCTGGCATCTATTCCTCCTGGGTGAGTTTGCTTCTTTTTTGTTCTAGAGATTTCGGGTGTGCTGTTAAGTCACTAGTGTGCGATTTCTCCATCTTCTTTATGTGGGCATTTAGTGCTATGAATTTTCCTCTTAGCACTGCTTTCATAGTGTCCCATAAGTTTGGGCATGTTGCACATTCATTTTCATTGAATTCTAGGAAATCTTTAATTTCTTTCTTTATTTCTTCCTTGACCCATTGGCGATTTCAGTTGGGCATTATTCAGTTTCCATGAGAGTGTAGGCTTTCTGTATTTTTGTTGTTATTGAAATCTAACTTTAAGCCATGGTGTTCTGATAAAATACAGGGGATTATTCCAATTTTTTTTTGTATCTGTTGAGATTTGCTTTGTGACTGAGTATGTGGTTGATTTTAGAGAAGGTTCCATGGGATGCTGTGAAGAAGATATATTCTTTTGTGTTTGGGTGGAATATTCTTTTTTTTTTTTTAAAGGAATATAAAACTATTTATTGACCACTGTTCACCATTATTTACAATAAAGTAAATATACAGTTGGATGACATTCTGATACTACAAAGTTACTTTTCTGGCTCATTGAACCAGAAACCAAATACTGAAAAGATTGATCCTACCAGTAAGGAATGAGTCAGGGTACAGAAAAAGCATGCAAGTCATTAATTTATATTACCAAATATTGTTCATTTATGTCAGCGGGTCTGAATTTGCCAACATCATCTCTAACCATGATCCCATTTCCACAGCAAACAGATATTCCACAAATCATAACCTTTTAGTAGATTTCAACTTTCTATAAAGGAACGGTTCACTAGAGGAACATTTACATGCCCATTTAAGTCTTTTTGTTGGGTTTTTAGAAACAGGGATTCTCTGTGTAGCCCTGGCTGATCTAGTCTAAATCAGAGGTCCGTCTGCCTTCATGCTGGGATTAAAGGCATGCACCACCACACCCAGCTTAAGTCTTGTTATTAAATCATACTACTACTTTGTCAAATTCCATTTTCTGAAGGGGGAGTTTGTAAGGACAAACTTTTGTAAATAAACTACTGTATTTATGTGATAATACATAAATTCTGATGTGGTTGCTGTAAAACTATCCAATAAATTACAGAATCATCTACTTAATCTGAAAGGTTATGGTTTTAGGAAAACGTTCACAATGATGGAATCTCATCAACACATGTTCTCATCTACAGTTTTTGAGCATTTAAAAACAAGACAAAATGAAAAACAGTTACGCAAGTGTTTTATGCATACACACACGCAAACAAACAAAAAACCCAGAATGGTCCTTCTGTGTCCCAGTTAAATAAGTTCTGATTGAGTAATGACTGTAAAATCTCCTCAGCGCTTAAGAAAAGCTGTTCTTCAAAGCCGAGGAAATACAACATGGTATCAAATATTCTATTGTTAAAGAAGCAACTACAGAAAGCTTTCATTTGCTCAAAGGAATCAGTGCCTTTTGATGCAGAACAAAAACCAAAAATATCCCAACTACTGTCAATACTTCAAAACCAGCATATCAAACTCGATTTTCATTAGAACGCTATTTTTTCCACACTAGTAATTCAAAACCAAAGATCCAGATTTTATATATATATAAATATATATAAAAATGCAAACAATTATTGGGCCTCATCTTCTGGACAAGAATGCCAAGTCAGCCTCTCCTCATAAAAGGCGATGACAATCTGAGGACACTTCATATTTGCCTCCTTTGCCAGCACCAAGTCTGCCTCATCTGAGTCCTTCCATTTCATGAGAAACATTAATTCTCCACTGCTGTCGGTGGCACCGATTATTCGTTCAGGATCAAGACCTCTGGCAAAACCCCTTGGTTTGTCAGCAGCATCTCTTTTCTTCTTCGATTTGCTATCATCAGATTCACTGTCAGATAAAGATTTCCTTTTTGTACCATCTTTTTCTTTACCAGCTTTTTGAGAATTAAGAAATGCTTCAATTAATTCTGGACAATCTAAATTTTCTTCTGGTTCCCAAGTATTATCAGCATCTGTGAACCCTTTCCACTTGAGGAAATACTCCACCTTCCCATTCACTACACGTCGGTCCAGTACTTTTTCTACCACAAATTCTTCAGGCTCTGCCTCTTCAACTTTTTTACTCTTTCCATTCTGTTTCTTTCCCATTTTTTGCAATGTAGTTTTATTGGAGGCCATTTTTTTTTTTTTTAAATCGAAGACTTGAAGAATTCACCGCTCCGAATCTCCGGGCTGCGCGGGTCCTGCAGAGTCTCCGGCTGTGCGCCTCAGCTCAGCCACATCCGAGGGGAGGGGGCGCGGGCGGAATATTCTTTAGGTATCTATTAAGTCTATTTGAATCATAATGTCTGTTCGTTCCCTTATTTCTCTGTTAAGTTTCAGTTGGCTGACCTGTCCTTTGGTGAGAATGGGGTGTTGAAGTATCCCACTACTAGTGTATGAGGTTTGATGTGTGATTTAAGCTTTAGTAGTGTTTCTTTTACAAATGTGGGTGTCCTTGTATTTGGGGCATAAATGTTCAGAATTGAGACTTCATCTTGGTGGATTTTCCTTGTGATGAATATGTAATGTCTTTCCCTATTTCTTTCTATTGATTTTAGTTTGAAGTCTATTTTGTTAGATATTAGGATAGCTAGACCAGCTTGCTTCTTAAGTCCATTTGACTAAAAAGTCTTTTCCCAGCCTTTTACTCTGAGGTAGTGTCTGTCTTTGAAGTTGAAGTGTGTTTCTTGTATGTAGCAGAAGGATGGATCCTGTTTTTGTATCTATTCTGTTAGCCTATGTCTTTTTATAGGCGAATTGAGACCATTGATATTGATGAATATTAATTACCAGTGATTGTTAATTCCTGTACTTAACATATATTGATGCCCTTTTTATGGCAGTATAGTTAAACTAATAGCTGAGTAATTCCATAATTCTATGATGTATTCATTCCTTTACTGGAAGGGATTTAAATTATCTGTATAATTTTATCATGGATGCATTTTTACCTCTTCATATTCTTTGAAGTCATCTATTTACCATATTTATTATTTGTAAAATATATTTTATTAATCCTTTGAGAATTTCGTATAATGTATTTTGATCATATTTGTCTCCTCCAACTTCTCCCATCCCCACCAGCACCACAGTGGGGCCTGCTGTGGAGTGTGGTCAGTCAACTATGCTCTGTAAAAGGAGCCATGTAAATTGGCCTTTAGTGTATAGTGATTCAGTCTGGTGAAGAGTTCTATAGCCCATGTTTAGGAGGAATTGATGTTTAATGGGTCCTACTGTTGGGGTTTCTTCTTCCCCTCAGTTGTTTAGGCTTAGATAAAATCCTACAAAGTTAGGTTCTGGTTTCTCCAGTGGCAAGGCCTATTAAAAAACAGAATGCTTTCATTGAAGTGAATATATAGCTTATTCTTACTATGATTTTTTTTAACTTTGCCTGATAATTGCCCAATTATTGATATTGATCAAATTTTAACACACCGGTTGACTGTGTATATCTTTAGTGTGTGATTTATCTTAGGTCTATTGTTCTTTTTAAAAACTAGATTATCTTGTGGAGCCTGCTAGGGCAGGTGTCATTGTTGCTTCTTGGGAGGTTAAGTCACGATGACCGCAAGCTAAAGGACAGCTTGAGTAAATTATTGATATCTTGTCTCAAAAGAAAAACCAGAAAGGTGTGGATGCAGCTCATTAGTAGAGTGCTTGGCCAGTACTCTATGCAAGACTGTTGGTTCAGTCCCCATTACTGTTTTAAAATATAGTATCTGTTATTCCAGAGATATCAGTGTGAGAACCTGGTTTAATTTCTGGAGTTAGAGCCCATGAAAGTGTAGGTGTCCTCCTGTGATTGGAGTTTAACTTGCATCAGACTTTTTACACTGAATCTCTAGCAATTGGATTTCATTGGTCTCCTTAGTTCAAGTTTTCCTACTTTGGTACTGATTCCACTGGTGGATTCTGCTGTGTCTAGGGCAAGCAATTCTTTGATGTCATTTTTCTCATGGATCCCATGGGTGAGTTTTTATATTTTCATTTTGTTCTGTGGGATTATTAATATTGATTGTCCACCTTGCAGGATCTCTAATTATGTGGGAGAAAAGTCTCTGGTCATCCTTTGGCTTATTATCCACATTAGGTTAATTGAGGTGGGAAGACCCACTTTAACTGCAGGTGTCACATTCGTGAGCTGGAGTCCTGAACTCACCGGACAAACGAGTAAGTGAACTGACCAGTAGCATTCATCTTGGCTTTTCTGGGTCTACACTGTAGCTCACTGCCCCAAACTCCTTTTTCTCTGACTTTCTTACCGAGGATCCTCGCACTGTTAGGTAAAATAAAAACATTCTTCCTTAAGTTGCTTTTGATGGGTATTTTATCCCATCAGTGTGGAAGGTAACTGTTACATTCAGCTTTTCACAGTTGTTAGGACGCAGTGGAAGCTTCCATGGTCCTGAGATGTCAGACTGCTCTCTTCATACTCTTATTTCAATCATGACCAATTTTTTTTTAAATATAGAAAATTATAACTAAAAATAACCACTGTAGTTTTGTCTCTCTTTTTTTTTTTTTTTTGAGTTGCTGGCCTCTTGAGACTTTATTTCATACATATGTGAGCATAAATATCATGCTTTACAAATTTTAAATACATGGGATTGGGGATTTAGCCTAGCAAGCACAAGGTCCTGGGTTTGCTTCTCAGCTCAAAAAAAGGGGACAAAATTAAATTACAAAAAAAGACCACAAGGTAACACATTTCAACTATATATTGCAGAACTGAAATTACACTGTACATGTATCACTTCACAGGCTGCCATTTTTAAAGTAATAATCACTTTCTAAAATCATTAACTTTCTTAGAAGACATAAGTTTTAGGCTTATACTTTAATTTCCTTTATATGATCATGGTATACTTTATTTAATGTCCTAATGCTCAGGTAATAATTAATTTTTTTATTAGACATCTGTAAAATGTTACTAGGATAATGAACGGAAACACATGAACTATGAACCAATAGTTTTGTCTCTTTTAAGACAAATGCTTTTATTCATTCTTTGAGAATTTCATGCAATATATTTCCCTTCCTATAAGTCTTCCCAAATCTTTTTCCATTTCCTTCTACCCAATCTCTTAAGAACCAAAGCCAAAGAACATGGAATCCAATTTATGTTAGTCAGCTACTCCTCAGCATGAGTGGCGCCTGCCTTGGTGGTTCATCTACTCAGTGTCATGTCATTGAAGAAAGCTCTCCCAGAACCTGTCAATTCTGAATAACTTCTTGGCTCGAGGTAGGATATAGTGCTCATTCTCCTCCTCCATGATGGGTTTTGTCTGGCATTTGTCTTATTAATCTTGGCCATTCTGATGGGGCAAGATGAAATATCAAAACAGCTTTAACTTTGCATTTCCTTGATGACTAAGGATGTTTAACAAAAGTATTTCATCTTTTAAGAACTCTTTTTAACTCTATACCCCATTTTAAAGTGAGCTATTTGTTTTCTTATTGTAAAGTTATTATTATTATTATTATTATTATTATTTATCTTATTTATTTTAGTTCTTTGTGTATTCTAGGTACTAACTCTGTTAGATGTATAATTGGTAAAGTTTTTTTTTTTTTTCCATTCTGTAGGTTACCTCTTCACTTGAATTGTGGTGTTGTTTGTTATACAGAAGCCTTTTAGTTTTATGGGACCCTATTTATCATTTGTAATTCTTAATGCCTGAACTGTTAGAGTCCTATTTAAAAAGTCCTCTCCTTGACAGCCGGGCGGTGGTGGCGCACGCCTTTAATCCCAGCACTCGGGAGGCAGAGCCAGGCGGATCTCTGTGAGTTCAAGGCCAGCCTGGGCTACCAAGTGAGTTCCAGGAAAAAGGCGCAAAGCTACACAGAGAAACCCTGTCTCGAAAAAACCAAAAAAAAAAAAAAAAAAGTCCTCTCCTGTGCTAGTAAGTTTAAGTCTGTTTCCTACTTTATCTACCACCAGATTCAGGATATCAGGTCTTAATGTTGAGGTCCTTGATCCATTTGGAGTTAAGTTATAACCTAAAGTTTATACAGACTGAAAATATGCATCTATTTCTAATCTTTTACATGGCAGCCATCCAACTTGATCATGTGTTGAAGATGCTGTCTTTTCTCCAGTTGAATTTTTGGTTTCTTTATTAAAATTCATGTTTGTAAATAGCTCTGTAGTATGAATGCATATCTGAATGGTGATATTTCCAGCAGTTCTTTTATTGTTCAGGATTGTGTTAGCTATCCTGTTTTGTTGTGGTGTTGGGCTTTTTTTTTTTCCTTTTTTTTCTTTTTTTTTTTTTTTTTTTTTTTTTTTTTTGGTGTGTGTGTATGTGTGGTGTGGATGAGGGTGTGTATTTCCATATGAAGTTTAGGGTTAGATTTTTAATTTCTGTGAAGAAATGTGTTGGAATTTTGGTAGGGACTGCAGTAAATCTGTGTAGATTGCTTTTGGTAGGGTGGCCATTTTCACAATATTAATCTTACCAATGTATGAGCATGGGAAATCTTTCCATCTTTTGATGTCTTCTTCAGTTTCTTTCTTTAACATCCTAAGGTTTTTATTATACAGATCTTTCACTTGTTTTGTTAGAGTTATTCCAAAATTTTTTTTGTGAGGCTGTTGTGAGTGGTTTGTTTTCCTGGTTTCATTCTCAGGGTGTTTGTCATTTATATAGAGGAAAGCTACTCATTTTTATGTGTTTATTTTGTATCCCGCCTCTTTGCTGAAAGTGTTAATCAGCTGTAGGAGTTCCCCAGTGGAGTTTTTAGGGTCTTTTGTGTAATAACATCTTACTGTCTGCAAATAAGGATACTGTGATTCCTCCTTTCCTACTTGTATCCCCTCAACCCCCAGCCTTGTTTATATGTATGTATGTATGTATGTATGTATGTATGTATGTATGTATGTATGTATATATGTATGTATTTTTGGAATCAGGGTCTCCCTGTGTTGTCGTGGGTGCTCTTTCTGTGTAAACCAGCCTGACCTTGAATTCACAGATCTGCCTGCTTCTGCCTGGGATTAAAGGCATGTGCTACTATGCCTACTAGTTTTATCTTTTTCTTATAGTCAGTTTGAGAAACTTTTTGCATATAACTTTCTATTTTTCTTGAATTTTATCTGTTCATAGCTTCTGCCAACATTTTTTTTCTTGCATTTGATGATTTTCCTTGAAATGGTGTGCAACTTTTGTTAGTAATAAAATTTCTTTAAAGGATTCTTTTTTCAAAAAAGGCATAGTTTTAAGCCTCAGTGTATTAAAAAATCCTCTATAAATGT